TGCCAGCTTCGAATGTATTCCACAAATTCAGTGAAGTTAAATGGAAGCAAGGCAAATCCGATACCTTAAATAATGAATGGAATTATGTAAGAAAACTATAGAGCATATGTCACTGATTAGAATGATTGTGTTGTTCTAACTATAATAGGTTGACTAGAACTTGAAGTGCTTTATACAAGCTCACCTCCAAGAAGCAAAGTACCAGCCATGGCACATCCAGTGATACGATGAAGACCAGACACCTGAAAAGGTTACATCACACTTTTTGATAAGAAAATTCCACTAAAGACTTAAGCCCACAATCATGGTAAGTGGAGGTTTGTAGGCACCAAGATGTGGTGCGATGGGACGACCAAGAGACTTTTGCTTCTGAAGGTACGCCCAACCCCATTCTTGAACCGGAGTCTTCACTTCACGACGGACCAATGTGGTGGCAATGAGTCGCGAGGATCTAAGCTGACATGGAGTGACTCGGCAAAGGATTCGGTGCAGCAACATCTTTACCTTCAAAGAAAAGACTATCATTTAGGTCCAGTTACTTAACTGTACACGTGTAACCTCCTGTTTAATAAATAAAATAAAAATACTAAGCAAAGAAGTTTGTAATCAATTCTGCTTATTCTTCTTGCGATACTTTTCTATCGAATTTCAACAAAATGCTTCTTGCGGAGATTGAGATATAATGCAGAGAAATAGACAGATATAAGAATGAGTCAATAATTTGACATTACTGTATTTCTAAACCAAACAAATAGAAAACTTTGAAATCCCATTATACTAATTTGGAGGAAATAAAGGAACTTATGAAAAGAGCTGCCAGCTCTAGGGATCACTAATGGATAAAATATTTGAAATAACTGAGATCTATGGCCAGATTCTAAAAAAAAGAAATAGCACTGGCAAGAAAAGATGTGTTAGATTTTGGAAACGAGGAGGACGAACACCTTTAAGCGAGAAAAAATACTTAGAAGCCCATTTCAGTTTTCTTCGAATGAGATGAGGAACATGCCAGGACAGAGAGACTCATACTGAACCGAACAGTGCACATTGAGCGCAATCGATGAAAGGACACTCCCCGCCAAGTGCAGAAAGTGCGGACCCGTCGATAAAATGTGCCCTTTCGAAGAACGCTACGGCACGTAGGCTTGGGCAAGCGCATGAGCAAACCGTTATCCAGAATTCATTACATGAGAACAAATCGATCGATATT